TATATATATATATATATATATATATAAAACCAGTTGAATATTTTAAGTTTTTATTTAAATATGGCGATTCAACTGATTTTATCTATTCTATCTTATGAATTATCATATATATTAACAACAACAACAACAGCAATAATAATAATAATAATAATAATAATAATAATAATAATAATAATTATTATTATTATTATTAAAACACACGGACATTTTGTGTCGATATATTTTACTAATCGACTTTTCAAAATTACGAAAAATCCTTCGCAGACAAGGAGGAAATTCCAACAGAAATTATCGCAGACATACGGCTGATCAGGATCAGATGAGACTATTGTGCTATTAACAGATCTCAAATTTATACATTACATTAGAAAGCTAATCAGACGCGCTAAAATCTGTTAATAATATAAGCCTTAGAGCGTATATTTCCACTCACGGACATTTTCATTTAGAGTCAATGTTAAACCTGGTGCCTACAACAAAAAGTAACATGATCAGAAGACATGTCTCCCATATAAGGTAATAATGTATAATTAAAACTATAGACAAGATACATCATCAAGTATAGGTAGATCATATAGCGTCAGGTAAGCATACTACTTACCGCCGTTTCCGTCAAAAAATGATTGCAATATATTCAGTAACGTGGTTTGACCGAAGATATAATATCGCTAATCACGAAACTAAGTACACGTCGTCCGGTGCTGATGTTGATTTCGTCAAAGAGCATATTTATGAAGCGACCAATAAGCATACTGTTTATTACCGTTGTTTATCTGTGATATGTTCAGCAACGAGGTGTGATCAGTGACATGATCGCTAATCACGTAACTAAGTACACGTCGTTCGGTGCTGATGTTGATTTTGTTAGGAAACATACATATAAAGAGATCAGCAAGGATCGTCGAAGCTCTCACTCTACAAAATCAACTAAGAGCATAAGGGAGATTAAAAAAACAACAAAGAGAAAGGGAAAGTTTCAGTGCTAAATATTAACATTGAAAGCAAAATCTTAAGCAGGCTTATGTGTCATTCGGTACAGACACGTGTGCAGTTAAGTCGGTGGCGTATGACCTCAGGCCTTATGACTTGCGCACGCGCTCATACGCCGGTTTACACTTCCGGTATCCTTCTCTTTTCACTTCCTATTGCTTTGCTGCTTTTAATCAACAATATTGCCACTTATCCTCCATTTTTCACACTTATAAAAATAAAAAAAATACTACTAAATTGTCGCTTACTCATGTTCATTTTTTTTTTGTTATTCTGCACTAATCTCCCTTAGGCAGGTCCGGAATTTGAGGGTGTGCTTCGTACAAACAGCGGAAAAGAGATCTGAAAGCCGTATTGCATTACGTAACTGTGTTAGGCGAGTGTCCGGGAAACAGGGACACGCTTTGATTGCCGACGTTTCGGTAAGGAGGAATGCCTGGAGATGTGGTCGGTTGAGAGAATTTTGTTAACGTGTGGCCGATCTCGAGGTCATGGCTGTTCATGATGTATACTTATATTTTTCTGCATCTACATAAATATTCTCGCTATTTCCTTATGTCTCTCTCCCTCTCTCACACACTCTCGTTCTCTTTCTCTCTCTCCCACTCTCAAACACTCTCGTTCTCTTTCTCTCACTCTCTGCCACTCTCTCACACACTCTTGTTCTCTTTCTCTCTCTCTCTTTCTCACACATTCTTGTTCTCTTTCTCTCTCTCACACACTCTCATTCTCTTTCTCTCTCTCTCTCATACACACTCGTTCTCTTTCTCTCTCTCTTCCTCTCTCACACACTCATTCTCTTTCTCTCTCTCTCTCATACACACTCGTTCTCTTTCTCTCTCTCTTCCTCTCTCACACACTCTCGTTCTCTTTCTGTCTCTCTCTCCCTCTCTCACACACTGTCGTTCTTTCTTTCTCTCTCTCTCTCTCTCTCACACACACACACACACACACACACACACACACACACACACACACACACACACACACAGACATACATGTTAGAGTGCTTGGAAATGTGGCCAAATTTTGTGAGAAGGCAGAAAACCTGTTCGAATGGAACGAACATTTCGAAATTTTTCGAAAGATGCCATTTGTTAATACAGTGGAACCTCGATTCACGAATTTAATTCGTTACTGAACGCCGTTCGTAACCCGAAATGTTCGTAAACCGAAACTATTTTACTAATAGGAATCAAGGTAGAAAAAAAAAGTGACAGTAGAATAAAATTGGAAAAGAAAAACACGGCACAACACACGAATGTATATAATACAGCGATAGACTCAGACATTATTCAGTTCAGGTTAATTAGGTTCGGCTATGTTGTTCGAGAACCGAAATTTTGTTCGATAACCGAGGCATTTTCATCTCGAATTTTCTGTTCGAAAACCGATTTGTTCGTTATGTGAGACGTTCGAAAAGCGAGGTTCCACTGTATTCCAATTCAATAAAATGTTGTTGAAAATTTAATTTCTTATGCATTTTTGCTTGTGTCCAGACTTTAGGGATACCCTGTACTTACTTAGTTCGATTATTTCACCGCTAAGACCCACCATGCCACACCCATTGTAGCGGACCACCCTCGTTTCCTTCGTATCCCATTCGTGAGATGTAAGAGCCACTCGAGCAGCTTCTTCCCACCAACCGTTGTTTTGTGGAACCGACTCCCAAGAGGACGCTTCCCCGATCACTACAATCTGTTCAAGTCTAGGGTTAACCGTTATCTTCCCCACATATTCTCATAAACTTTACCTTTTTACTCTGTAACCCTCTACCTCGAGTGGCTGTTGGGCCTTGCACAAAAAGATAAAAAAAAAACAACAAAATTAGTATTAACCAACCGATAATGGTACAACTTTCAGGATAGAGTTACCTTTATATGGCGAATATAGAGTACTAATTTAAAAGCCGCCATATCTGGCGGCATTTAAGCTAGTTCCTGCGGAGGTCCATTGATTGGGGCTTCATCACAATAAGTAGGGAGGAGTTTATATGAGAGGCAACAATAAACTACAGAAGAACTCAAAATTGATTGCCGCCTTAATATTTAAGCTTACTTTTATAGAGTTCAATGATAATTCTTTTGTCGACAATTTTTAAAGACAATTTTATGTACGTAGGCCTTTACTTTCTGTAAAACATTTGGTTTTATTTCATGCGTGACCTTTTATTTTATTTCCAAATTATAAAACTTATTACCGTACAAAAAAATTCGTCGCCAAAAATCACGTAAAAGAAATCGCCGAAATCAATCGCTGTAATGAAATAAACTTGGGAATGGAAAATTTCGGGATTGCCGGTCCAGATCCGGACCGAAATTTGTTTACGGAGTCGGCCTGATTTCAAAATCGTATGATATGTCAGGCTAGGACCTCTTCGAATAAAGTTGAAAAATTGTGACACAGTGACACACTGAAATTCGCATTTATTATGTACATGAATTTCAGCTTATAATATTTTTTTATAAGAACTATTTAAAATAAATGGTTTGTTAATGTGAGATTTTATTATGCAACATAAGGATTGTTTATCACCAATCGTTAATAATTGGTTGTATATTACTTTTTTATGCTAGAAATAAGTAATATTTCTTTTAAATCAGATTAATTTAACATTAAATTTTCTAATTTTACTAAAATAACGTGTCAGAAACTTTTTAAAATATTTTTAAAATCGATAAATTTGTGTTTGTTTACAAATTTCTTAAAATTAAGAAAATGGCGGGAATTACGAAAATTTAAAATTCCAAAATTAAATTTGACATTCCAATTTCTATCTGAAATACACCAGAATTGTTTCCTTAATGGAAATAATAAATTTAATGATTAAACTTTCAATTAAAGCTAAAATGAAATCTTCAAGCATGTTTTTTCATTTTTAAAAATTTATTTTAAAGTTAGGTATCGAAAATTTTGCCGAAAAAGTGGAGGTCCCTATATAAATTAATAGATACTTATATATACGCCAGATTTTATTATATCAGCCAATGTTTTCATAATAAAATTTCTGTTAACCAACAGATGATGGGAAAATTTTCCACCATATATTTACGTTAAATATTAACAGAAGTATCTACTAGTCACAAAGTGGGTGATCAGTTTTCTATTGTTATTAAGTAATAAATTGATCTAATCTCGAAATACTACACTGTGTCAGATGTTATTATGCAAGCCAATGTTTTCACAATGAAATTGCTGTTAACCAACAGATGATGGGAAAATTTTCAAGATATATTTACGTTAAATATTAACAGAAGTATCTACTGATCATAAAGTGAGTGATCAGTTTTCTATCATTATTAAGTAATAAATTGATCCCATTTTGTTATTACTATTTATTTTTTAATTATGCAAATTAGCGTTTTCATAGTAAGCAGCTGATGTCGGTAAAAGTTTTAGAATATATTTATATCAATAAGATATCAGCTTTTAATATCGATTCTTTTTAAGAATATCGATGATAATTTTTTTGTGGGGAGGGAAGGTGTCCGATGTTATTATGCAAGCAAACTATAAAGCCCAAAGTTATAAGTCATAGAAAGATATACTTGATTAAA